ACTAGTTCAGTTCTGAAATAACAAACCCAGTTCTTTAAGTGCCTGGCTTTATGTGCACTATCATGTTGAAACATGTCAAGTGTCCTGATATCAGTGTGTCACCTTGATCACGTGACGTTACCTGAAATCCACACACCTTCCACTTAACACCATATTCCGGCAAAATACGAGACACACCCAGAAAGCCAGACAACCCAACCGACCTCTCAGGCCTGAAATACTTTTTCAACCACTGAAAACCACTGCTGTAAAAAGATATTGATTAAACCTACAATTTTATTGGTCTAACTTTATGTGTTTTAATGTCTTTTCATATATAGAAATAAAGTCACATCCTTCTGTCCACGCACCAAACCTACAGTAACTGCTGCTGGTTTTAACCATAAATCACTAAAACGTTTTTTTGCACCCACAGTTTAAATCAGATACTTTGCCAGGCAATGAAAATCAGTTTTTTCAGCAGCACCAAAACTTCCCATAAACCCATAACTTAACGGATGTGGATAAGAGACACAGGAGCATCTCATATGCTTCACAGCACCAGACTGAGAAAAGAAGAGCAAACAATTTTTTTTTTTTTTTTTTTGGTTTGTTACTCGATTAAAACGATCATGACCCATCATTTTAGATGACAGTTAATGAGATCTTTAATTTCCATCTTTAATTTAATAAGCCTGAGATCATTTTAGAAAAATATGTGCAATTTTAGCAATATACCACACTGCATGTGGATTACAATGTTCACATAATAGTGAACTTTTAAAGACACATGGAACTAAACGGCTGTTGAGTAAAGCTGGAATCACCACGATCGCCTGGAGCAAACTACTAAACCCTGATGCTGTGTGAGTGTGCGCACAGATCAACAAAGATAAAAGCACTGTATGAATGTGGGTGTGACTCGGTGAAGGAGTCTTGCAGTAGAAATGCTAGTCTATGTATAATTTATCTACCTTTTATCATAACAGTGTAGTATATGTCTCAATCTTTCTTACTGTAAAAACACTCCTGCCCTGCAGCAGAGACCTCTGCTGTGGAGGGTTAATATGAACTAAAAGAACATGTCCATAAACTTTTGGCCTTATCGTACACTTTGCAGTGTGTATAGATGCAGATAACAGACTTTCCCTTCAGCTAAATGATGAATGACAGCAGACCCCTGACATCATATGATAACAGATGTGGAGCTGAACGTGGTCTTCCAACAGGACTGCTCTTAATGGGGTGCAGCTGATAATGTTGCTAATGACTAAGAACTGTTTTTTTTTTTTTCTCAATGTTTATTTATGCAGAAAGGAATTATTTTGCGAGATTGTCGTGGCAGAGCCTGTTTTTTCATAAACAAATTTACACACCCACTGTGACGTTTCCCATCATTTAGGGCAGTCGTGTTATGAACCCTGTGTTTTGTGTTTTTGGACCTTCAAGTTCTGTTATTATAAACTTTCTTCAGTTTAATTCTCAGTGTCTTGTTGTGTTCTCACTGTTGTGTTTATTGTGTTCCCTGTCTCAGTTCACCCTTCCTCACCCGTGTTGCCTGTGTCTAGTTAAGTCTCCATCGCTATGCTAAGTTCCTTCCTGTTTTATTCTGATATTCTCCATATTTTTGTGCCCTATATTCAGTTTTGCTTCCCTTGTCTTGTTTTCCCTGATTGGTTTCAGCTGTGTACTCTGGTGTTTCTAATTCGCCTACACTGAACTGAATGTTTGTCTGCCTGTGGCTTTTCCATTGTGTTGCTCCTGTTTGGCTTTATGTGATTTGTTTCCTGCTGGATTTAAACAACACAAACATAAAGGTTTGTTTTTTCTTCCTTAATTAATTCCATCTGATGAGTCCAGTAATCTACACAATCCATCACATGACAAAGGGTGGATCTGACTGTGAAACCACAAGCTCACTGGCTTGTGATTAGCCGCTCACAAGCTGTTAACCAATAACTGTATCCAGAAATGTTCCAGTAAAACACTGTCCTTGTGGGTTTATTGGATGAGTTACTGGTTTCATGTCATAACAAATACAAAATTAAGTCCATTTTGTAAACTACAGGGACCCTAAGAGTCAGAAGGATTATTCAGGATATGCTCACTTGTTACTAACCTGTGCAAGGACAAAAAATGTTATTTTTCTTGACAGCTCAATGACCGCAGCATGTTTCAAAAGTAATTTATGTAATTTATTGGTTAAAGGAAATCACTGTGTCACTGTCTGAAATACTAGTTTGAACAATAAACATAATACTGAAATTTGAACTTATGTTTTGCAAAGGTCTTGAGCCACATCACATTTCTTTATAATTAACAGTTTGTTAGAAAAATGGGAAATGGGTGCAGCGACTTACTGAAACATAAGGCACAAACAGGAGCTTGAAAGTCAATATTTGGTTTGACGTCTTTAGGAATAGTTCTCTATGGTTCATGAAGGACATTCGAAGCTCTTCTTTAGATGTTGGTGGCTTTTTGTTTCCCATTGTCTGGCTACATGATCCCACACTGCAATGATAATGTTGAAATCCAGGCTCTGGAGAGGCCGATCATGACTGCTAGTGCTCCATTTGGTGTTGTTTGTTTGTTTTCTATCCATGATGGGTTTACTGCACTGGCTGTGTGGTTGGGATCAGTGTCATGCTGAAAAACGAAGCCGTTGCCAATCACATGCTTTCCAGATGGTTTTGTATGGTGGATGAAAATCTGATTGTACTTTCCCAAGTTCATAATTCCATTCATTTAGACAAGATCACCGACATCACCGGCCCCAAAATATAAAGAAATGATGATGGCTCAAGACGTTTGCACAGCACTATAAATCTGAAATAGCACCTATTGTTTTTCAGTGATGTTTTCCCACTCTCACTTCTTGGTGGAAAATGTGCACCGACGAGCACAGGGGTAATCTTAAAAAAGACATTTTAATATATTTTTATTAACACTTTGTTTACATACAGATGAAGAAAAGGACATTTTTAATGTCAGTGAGACGTAAATGTTACTGTGCCAAAAACTAACTGCAGCTCCTTTTTCTGTCTCAGAATTACTTGTCCGTTGTTTGGCAAATTATAGGCCAAAAAGTCATTTACATTCATTTAAATATGGATACAAATGTTTTTTGGCAAATACACAAATAATTATTTGGAACATCACTGGCTTGTAAAATATTAGGATTTTAAATGTATTGAACACTGACTATCTAATGGGTTTTAGACAGCAACTAAAATCTGAGTTTCTTAGTCAGATTAGCGGATTATTTTCTACAACGCCGTCCTTATTCTATGGGCTGAATTCTGATCTTAAAAAAAAATCAAAATATAATCAAGTTTAATACAACAACAACAATAATTTAAAAAAATCCTTATAAACCCTTCATAAAGTGTGGCTTACTGACAGACTCACAGAAAATAAAGACACCACAGTGTCAAACTTGGGTGATATTTAAATTTAATCTAGTTTAGCAAATTTAAGCTTCCTCCATAGTCTCTTTGCTGATCAATAATACATCAGTATATGGCTAACATTAACAGAAAACATTAGTGCTGCGTATAAACCCTTAATATTTTCGGTTAATTAGACAGAGGAGACTCCACTGTGATATATGGGCTAGAAAGGAAATAAATGCAGGACAGCGTCTGTGCGCATGCTGTGGCAGCTCACTGTGAGCCTCTACACACATTATTAGAGCGTTTCACACTGTGACGGAAACCACACACTGTGAAAACAGCGAAGCAGATGAAGACAGATAAGGCCAGAGTGAAAGCATCACCCCATTCAGTCGCGTTATCAAACTCTTCTTATTATGAAACTGACCTGCTCCAGCGCCTCAGCCTGTTTAGGACTCAGGTCTCCCACTCTCCCGCTCATGCCTCCGACCTGTGGATAAAGACAGCAGAGCTCCTTCAAAGTTCCGTCTTTGACGCCTCCACGTGATGCTCATCCACGGCCTCAGCGTCCTGCTATCCTCCGGTGTCACTGCCCGGTGGTGCAAAACGTATGAGGGGGGGGGGGGGAATGTAAACACAGCGCTCACACCGCCTGTTTTTACCCTATGGTTAAAGATCCAGCCCAGCTGGCTAACTCAGCCAAAGAAAAAGGGGAAAATGACAGGAGCGTCATTCTGCAGCAGAGGGAGGGGCCACGGAGAGCAGAAGCCCCGCCTTCTCTGCTCATAGGTTCACTCACTATTAAAATCATGTTATTAAATACAGAATTATTCAATGTATCTTTCGCCATTAAATTGTCGAGCTAATCACCTGAAAATAAAGAGTAAAGTAATTTAATTTACGAGGCCTTACACTGAGAATTTTAAGCTCTTTAACGTTTAATAGTAGGTGTTTTTTCCCTTTTGGGTAAGACATTGTCGGGACAGAAAGGAGACGATCTTTGGAAAAAGAAAATAAATTAACAACAAATCTTGCACATGCGCACATACAATATGCGTTTTCACATCGTTAATTAAATCAGGTTATTGCGTATTATGCCACTTTTTATAAAGTTATGTTTAACTGCGTATTATTAGTTTTAATTTATCATTAAAACTAATAATGTGTGAGTGTGCTATCCTATATCGTACCGGGCAAGTGAGAAAATGAACTTGTTAAAAGATCCTGATTTTTATCTCCAGTGCTTTCTGAAAAATATTAGACTTTATTTAAGAAAAAAAAAAAGACTTTGGGAATTTAGTTATTCACCATCTTAGTATAAACAACAGGCCGTTTTGAAAATGTTTTATACGGAACTTTAGCTGTAGGGTTGAGTCCTAGCTTTAAAGCGAAAAAGGAAGTGTGGGAGAGTACTTCTCTCGGTGTTTTTATTCGTCTCTGTTTAAATTAAAAGCTCAGCGACTGTACGCTAGCGTGAGAAACAGTCATATGCTAAAGTTGGCAGTTCATAACCAGTATGATACATCGATAGCTAATCAACAGCATTAGCATGTGATTTAATTTCTGTCGATGCTGTCTAAAGGGCCTTTTTTGCGTTTTTCCTATGCAAGAGAATAATTATCCTGCAGCTTCCGGGTTCGACCGGAAGCTGTTTTTCTTGTTTACATTCTCCGGGGCTCTGCGAGCTAACTGGCGAAGGGAAGCGCTACGGCTTTTCCAAAACAATGTCTGACAGTTGATTAAAATCGTGGATTTATTGCAGTTTTCTGCTCTATTTCCTCTGTGTTGTTTTGGGGGTCATGGCTTCCCCTCGCTGGTGCTGCCTCGGGGTGTCGTTACCGCTCCTGCTACTGCTGCTGCTGCGGTGGCCGGGGCTGCTGGCGGTGGCGGAGCAGGTTGCTCTGGTAGAGGTTTTCTTGGAACAGCGGCCAGATGCGAGCGACCTGCTCCAGGGGGAGGTGGTTGAGTCCAGCCTGGGCGGTGGGAGCTCCGAGCAGCGGGACGAGGAGCGAGAAGAGTTGGAGGCAGACCTGGTCCTGGTGAGTGGGCCTGGGGGGGTCAAAGCTACTCGGCTCTTGTCCTGGTCCTTTAATAGAGTGGTACATGCGGGTGACACGAGCCCAAAATAACAATTTGTTTTGTTAACTACGTTTTATTTTTTTTTTGGCTTAAAATAAGATAGAAAAATTTAACTTTAACGTGTTGCCTTTTTTGTATGTGGGCCAATCACACCTTTCAGGTAAAAGAGATAAAAGAAGATGTACTAATATTAAAAACAGATCAACAATCACCTGTCAGAACTTCCACCCTGGTGCAGGGCAGATGTTCAGCCTGTTTCCCTGCCCTTTGTCTTTAGGTTAGAGATGAGGTGACACCAGTGGACGAAGGAGAAGACGAGGCTGACATCAAGAAGCAGGAGCCGTGGATCGGGGTTGTGCCCGTGGAGATAGACGAAAGCAAAGCCTCGACTGGGAACCAGGAGTCCTTCGCTGATGCTGTGGTAAATAAAGTGAGTGGTATTTGTACAGTTCAGTCAACTGCTTAGTTTTCACATGTTCCACATTGCCTTTCTGCTTTAGTTCTGTGATCAGTCTGTTTTTAGTATTTTAGCAGTATTTTAGTTAAAAACCTGAAAGGTAACATCGATTTCTCTCTGTTCAAGATGAAGCGAGCGTTGGTCCTCGGGGCGTCGGCGCTGATTATTCTGGCTCTCAACCAAAACACCGTCAGTGAGGTAAAAATTCAGAAAGAAGGATGTGTCTGCAGTTGATACGGATCTTGTTTCTCCATCTTTTCCATCATAACTGTATGGCAACTTCCTCAGACGTTTTCCTTATTTGACCTATTTTTACATGTGCCAGTCCATGTACATGACCCCGATGCAAGTTACAGGCTGAAAGTAAAGTTGCAGGTTATACTGCAAGTGCCGCTGGAGTGTGAACATCCTCATGCCAGTCTGTGTCAGGACAAGGCATAAAAATGCCTGCATATATAACAACAGTTCAAATGTTCACATTCTATTAGAAACAGATCTGAGGTTTAGGTCCAGTGAAGTCCCCAAGCGACAGAGATGACAACAACATAAAAGGATGTCTTTGCAGAAGCTTGTTTGGATTTCTTCATGAATCCTTCAAGAAGAGTGAAACTGAGAGGATCATCTGAGAGCAGCACCTACAGTTCCCATGAGTGTAACCCAGCTGCCTTTCTCGTTTCCCTGTCCTCACATCTTACTCCCTGCCAGCAGACATCTAAGCGGGGAGGCACGGTTGATACAACCTCATCATTAATAGTTTTATCATAGCCAAACTGCTGCTTTATTTTATGATCTCAGATGTAACTGTACTGATCGCAGTATAAGAGAGAAAACCGCCAACAGTCAGATGACCCCTTGTGAACACCCTTTGGTAACAGAACTCCCTTTTACAGGAGGAGACCTCTTCAAGAGCAGGCTCTGCTGGGATTCTTCAGGCGATGAGGAGGAAGAGAATTGTTTGGACCTGAAACATGAACTCTGACCCTGAAAACCTGAGAAACATACATTTGTTTTCTTCAAAATTTCCTGACATTCATGAACCTGTGTGTCATTTACCTTTTTGTGTTGATCGTTTAGGAAGTATGCTTCATAATTTAGTAAATCACAAAGCACCTCAGCTAACTCTTTGTCTGCAAGAGAGGCCGAATCTAATGTTTATTAAGCCAGTGAGAGGACATGCAGTACACAGCATGATGAAAAGGGTTTTTGTTTTTTGAACCTTTCTTTCATAACAGCCCAGCCAAAAGTGCCGTTGTTGCACTCTGTGCATGCTTCTTATCAGATCATTGACAGTAATAATGCTGGTGGCTGTTTTAGGTTTACTGTGTAAATCCGCTTTTGATGTTGCCGCAACCTCTATTTCTATTTTCTCATATGAGACTATTATAGTATTTTATGTTGTATCTAACTTAATTGAAGAGCCACCATTATGCATGGAAACATGCAGATATCATTAAATAAGTCTTTTTCAACTGCACAGCTCTGACTGTGTTTACATTTCAGTGTGCTGAATTCTTAACCCTGTTTTTCCTGTTTGTAGATGGATTTATCCCAGGTGCTGTCCAAGCCCATCATTGTGATCCAGACATCAGAAAATGTGACCAAGCTGATCGGAGCACTGCTCAGGTCAGTGCCTGATTATCAGAGATGCAGCTGCATACATGCGTCCATGAGTGTGAGTTGCATATAATGGCACATGTGTTTGCAATTCAGAGGGACACAACGCTGATGGAAACTGTGCATTAATTTGAATGCGCCCTGCATAGTTTCACAGAACAACTTCAAAAAGTAACAGTGGGAGGTTAACTTACCTTAAAAATGGGTTTCAAGGGTATTTCAAGCCTGCATGCAGTAAACAGGTTCTGCCACACTCAATTTCAACAGCCTCACTGAGACAGGAGAATCACATCAAGGCGAGATGTTTACAATTTACCGATAGGCTTTCATGTCAAATGTGTCTTATGTGGATTTGAAAATGGCAGCATCAGTGTGTCCGTATTTCACAATACAAGCACTGTGTTGTATGAAAAAAACTTACAAGTAGTGATTGAGTCCAGTAGATGTCACAGATGTCACAAATGTCACCCTCTGCTGCCCGTGAGAGAGGATGCAGATGTTCTTAGCCATCATTGATATACAGTCTGCGCTTGTTGGTTGTTGGAAACACTAATGGAGAGAAATGCAAACAAAGCAGGAGGACTGGAAGGTGGCAGATGATTTTTATCGGCACCTAAATCTGCACCGACTTCTTCACAGGGGCCTTCAGGCGACGGCAAAAATCACATACAAGACGATCCTGCAGGACAACCTGGTGAGATCCACACCCATCTCAGTTGTTAGCACCCTCCAGTGGTGAGTGAACAGATGACAGGCTGAGCTGACAGTGAGCGCATTGCTGCTGTGTGTTCGGGCAGGGAGCCACGCTCACGCTGTGGTCCAGCTGCGGGCGGTCGAGAGGAGGTCGCTACGGGGAGTGGCAGGGGGTCATCTGCACCGGCGAGACCAACTCTCAGGTCCAGGTGGGCAAACACGACACAGTCAAACACACGTCTGCTTTTAAGCTGCTGCATAGGAGCCGAGTGAGTAACTCGTGTTGGAGCCTAAACCTCTGACTTCCTACTTGTCAAGATAACCCGATTAGATGGAACGGTACAGAATTAGAAATATAAGCTAATTTATCTGGAAGACTTTTCTTGTTTGTGATGTAGAGGAATCCGTGTTGTTGCTGCTTCACAGAAGTACCTGCAGCAGCTGTGGGACACCGTCCTCCTGGTGGCTCTGATCCTCAGCACAGGAGTCATCGTTCAGGCTCGCTGGCAGTACCAAGGCCGCCAGCTGAACGACGACTTAGAGGTAGACAATTATGTTTTTTATTTAAAATTTGCTTTGGCACAGCCCCTCTGGTCGTCCCCCCTTTTTTAAGCCAACTTTTTCTGATTGGCTGCTCCTTTCAAATAAAAGATTCAAACAGCAGCAACTGTTCCTGAGGTATCTGCTCTCAGGAACAGTTGAGAGCAGATATTTTTAAATGCTGGATGCCTTCCTGATGTAACCTCAGTGTGTGTGGCTGGGAGTGAATCGGCGATCTTGCGTTCATTAAGCAAATGTGTAAACTTCTGTAATACAGAGGCTCGAGGCAAAGAGCACAACAAAGCAGCCTACACAAAACAAAAGCTGTCTGTGAGGAGAACTTTAAGTCAGGCCTCTGTCGTGCAGTTTCAATTAAATTTTATTTATATAACACTAAAATCACAACAACATTCACCTCAAGTCATCTAATACTATAAGCTAACGTCTCTACAATTACACCCACACAGAAATAAAAATCAGCAGTACATGAGATGTTCTGCTGGCCACTTCTCTCACCCCAACCGGTCGCAGCAGATGGCCCCGCCCCTCCCTGAGTCTGGTTCTGCCGGAGGTTTCTTCCTGTTAAAAGGGAGTTCTTCCTCCCCTCTGTCGCCAAAGTGCTGCTCATAGGGGGTCATATGATTGTTGGGTTTTCTCTGTATCATGAAGCGCCTTGAGGTGACTTTTGTTGTGATTTGGCGCTATATAAATACAATTGAATTGAATTGAACTGTGTTTTTCAGCTCCTTCCCAAACAGGACGTTCTGAAGAGGATGTCATCCCTGAAGACCAAACGATACCGTCAGCCCAAACCCTGGTGTGACCCGTCGCAGCTGGCAGAGGCGGAAACCTGCGCCGTCTGTTTGGAGCCTTTTAACAACAACCAGGTCAGCCAACACCATCCCCCCCCCCCATAACACTTTGTTTAATTCATTAAGAAGGGAGTGACCGTGAATGATGAGAGTAAATAGTCAAACACGCTCTGCTTTTTGGCTAACTTTGTGATTTAAATAAATGATGCATCTATAAAATGTCGTCTCAGTGTCTGCGGGTGCTGCCGTGTCTTCACGAGTATCACAGAGACTGTGTCGACCCCTGGCTGCTGCTGCAGCACACCTGTCCTCTGTGCAAGCGCAGCATCCTCAGTGAGTTTACACACTCGTACACGCCTCTGTCATCCTCTTGTAAAGGCTTAAAATTATTGTAGTAAAACACTTTAAAAGATCAGCCTTCTTCCACTGCAGACTAAAGTCTCAAGTCTTTGTCAGTCTAATCGTTTTCACGACCGGGACTGAAATGTGTGTCTGAATCTTTTCCTCTCCAGGCAGCATCTGCAAAGACAGCTAACAGTCGTTTCATCTCGGGGAGTCGGTTCACATCCCGACCTCAGTGACACTTATTTTTTGTTTTTGGTTAAAGCGACCTCAACACTTCCTCCTTCCAGCTGTGGATTTGGGAGCATAAACTTGTCGTCGCTGCTGACCGGCCATCAGATTTTAACCTCTACAACATACAGTGGTAGTTTAAAGCAGTACTACGAAGTTCCCCACTGGTCGTGTTATCTGTGAACAGAACTTCTTCTTGAGATCTCGTTACTGTACAACTCGGTGTGTAAACGGCAGCAAATGCAACTGTTTCTGGGATCAGTGTGTGTAAAAACTGACAACCTCAGTATCTGAGTCAGCTGCTGGTGCAAAGGCGTTCAATGCTTTTATGTTTTTAGTGTGGATGTACTGATCACCTGGTTCACTTTAGGTCAAAATGATGTCAGTAACCAACAACCAGGGAGGACTGAAAGTTTAAAAAGTGGTCGTCTTTGGTACTTTGCAGTTCAGTGGTAGTTGTAGAGCTTCTGTAGTCGTAGTGCAGGAGTCAGTGTGTACCAGCTGGTATCATGTAGGGAAAAAAACACATCCTTAAACTCCTCCTTTACCATTTTATTTATTTTTCCTGCGATTAATCATGCTTAGCATACATCAGCAGCCAGTTTAGTTTCAGCTGCACAATCAGTGATGCTGAACAGGTAGGATTGTGTTTGCAGCATAGAAGGATATTGTCCCTTTTTATGAAGCTCTGTGTAACGAGTGCTGTCACAGCCGCTACAGTTTTACTTTACAAATCATAGATTTGTAAAGCTCTTATTTTCCATTTAAATGAATTATCTTTGGGAAATTTGAATTCTGCAGTTTGATGAGAAGAATTCCACTCGTGTTTCTAAGATTTAAAGAAAAGAAAAAAAAATGAAGCCAGACTGAAATGACAGCAAGTCTGGCTCCATCCTAAAGAATCAGAATACCAGAACCTCGTCAGCTTCATGGCCCATCCTCTTTCCTTACCAATGAGCTGCAGGGCTGCTAATTTGGATGTAGCCTGTGGACGGGCCTTAAATCTCTCTCTCCTCTGTGGCTCCAGAAAAAGTTCTGGTTGCATAAAAATCTACTTAAAATTACCTTCAGCTCTTTCTTTGTTAGCTTTCATAAACCCTGTTGTCACTTTCAAGTCTTATTGAATAAAACGTCAGGTAGTGGGCAAACAGCAGTTTATGCAACAGGACTTTACAGTCTGTGCTCCACCCAGAATCTGCAACGGGTGGGGAAGTCGCTCACATGTTGACACACCAGGTTAACTGAGGCATCAGGACAAAGTCTGTTAACAGCTGTAGTCCAAAAGCTGGTGTTGGAGTCTGTCCACAGGACTCAGAGGAAAACGAATGAAACGGAGGACCGACATCACTTCCTGTCCAATCCTGAAATCACAGAAACCAATCAGGGCCCGAGGCTTTGGGACAGGTCAGGGTTAACTGGTTAGAATTGACTGAACATTGCATGTAACGCCTTCAAGGGTGGGGTTGTCCGTCCATCTCTTTTTCAGAACAGTTTATCCAATTTAAGGTTGGAGGGAAAGTCCAGATGAAGCGAGCTCTTCCTGTCAAAAGGGAGTTCTTCCTTTCCACTGTTGCCAAGTTCCTCTCGTAAGAGGGTCATCTGTTTCTTGTCTGTCTTTTTAGTTTTCTCTCCCAGAGGTTTACCTAACAATAATGTATATATACTTAGATATGGAAATTAAACTGAACTAAATCCACTGCACAACCATTTTTACATTTTCGATTACAAGCCAAGACTATTGAGTTGACGTGCAGAGGTGCTGACAGGCAGATTTAATCATGTTTGGACATAGTTGAGTTTGGGGTTTTTTGTCCCCGTGTTTGATGTAAATGGCAGTAGGTTCGTACAATTTACTAACACAGTAACAACATTCTCACCTGATTTTAAGTAAAAATGTCAAACAGCTCTTTGGAAGACGACATATCCAAACTGTGATTAAAGTAAATCTCTGCAGTGCAGACTGTGGACTCTGAAGTGCTGAAGCACAGAAAAGAAGCTGTGTACTTACCAAAGCTGAAGATAATTATCACCGTTTTTACTCTGGAGTGTGTTCCTACTGCAAAACGGGAATTTAAATCTAATTATTTCCAAACTTTGCCAATAACCACAAACTCAAAGTATGTTAAACATATAGTTTTATTGTATTTATTTTGTGATGTTTTTTTTGCAATGCCAACTCCAAAAAGCATAACTTTGTGCTGAAATTGTTACAAAAAGCTCATCGCTGAATAGAAAATAGCGTGTGCATGGCAGTGTGTAGGAGGTTCTCCACGAGGACCATCCTTGCAGAAAGTGCTTCCAAACACAAACGACAGCATCGTTATGAGTTGGAGTTTCCTCATTTATGGTGAAGTCTGGACAGCAGTGGCGTGAGCGGAGTAGATGATGATACACGCGTGCAGCAGCTTTCGCACATGCTCGAACAGGACGAGTCGGCCGCTGAATTCCAGGCTTGATCTCCAGGTCAGTAATTGTTCTTCCAGCTACAGAAGGAACTCCCGAACGTCTCCTCCTTTTATTCCTATGTAGTCTGTTTGTCGATGATGATGATGTCAAAGAAACTTTGTTAGATCACTCTGGATCGTAATAATAAAATGATTTGTTACATGTTATTCTTTATCGTCAGTCCTTCGCTCACACTTGATGTTTATTGAACTATAGAATAAAATCCTTTGGGCTCAAACACGACACAGATCTCTCAACTATTTCAGTAAAGCTTGTTGGCAACTTTTAATAAAAGAAAAAGCCAAAATGCAGTTTTACCGAAACCATTCTGAAAACTAACGAAATCTGTGACGGCTTTCACAGTGACTGGAACCTGAACCACAGTCAAACCAGAACCACACCAGAGCCCAGATCCTTCAGCTTTCACGCACACCTCATCCTCCCCTTCTCCCATCAGTCCATTGGGGTTGAGCCACAGGTCAGGAGGGGATCATGCCTTTGTTCCTCTTGCGGTCGGCCATGCTGCGCCGGTTGTGGTTGGCTACACGGCTCTTGTTGGTCTCCTTCTTTCGCCGGTCCTGTAACGTCTCAGTGGTTTGTCCTTGTCCTTTGGGTCGGCCAGCCACGTTGCTGGAACGTTCTGGCCGGAAGCTGCAGGAGGGAAGACGGCACATATTTTCAAGAACATGTTGGACGGAAACAGCTGAGCAGAGTGAACCTGCGCAAACCGAGCATCGACTTTACCCTTTCCTCTGCTGCATGGCTGCTCTTCGAGCCTCGGCTCGCTCCCTCAGCACAGCCGGGTCCTGCACGAACTGGTCCCTGTTTACAGCGCTCTGAAATAAAAGGAAGTGACAAACAATAAGACACGGACTGTCCAGGATTCTAGAAATGTGGTGGTGCAAAGCCGATCACGGGGGCTGAGGGCAAATCATAAATAACCAAACCATTTAAATCATATATGGAAAGTGCGACTGCCGCGTAATAAGAAGGCAGCTGTGAGGTAACAGATTAACATCAACATTTTCTAAACTCCATCATCGCACAGCATTAAAGCTTTAAAATCCAATCAAATGATCTCCGTACCTTTGAAGCATCTTCCTCTTGATCGTCTTCATCATCCTCCTCGTCTTCTTCCTTGTTTCCTTTTCTCAGTACCTGCGGTACCGTGAACGGCCTGCAGAGGAACAGAAATTAATTCCGGCTCGCTGCGTCTCCACTCCATCATAATCAGCGACACCAAAGATACCTTCTGGTCAGTAAAGAGTCTCCGTCTAGGTCGTTGGCGCCCACTTGGTTCATGTCGTAGGTGTCGTCGTACTCGTCGTCATAGTCGTCCAGCTCGTAGGCCGTCGCGGATTCTCCGGGTTCGACGATGACCTCGTCCACCACTGTCTCGTACGTGTGATAACGAGCTTTCTGCTCCGCTATGTGCCGCTTGTCGTTCAGCATCTCCCGAACGTTCTCACCTTTCCTGCAGGAAAACAAAGCGTCTTTAAGGGCACGCAGAGTTTGAGTTATGAGCCAAACATCCTGAAATAAGAGCAGCACGGAAGTGAACATCTGAACATATTACTCTGGACCTGGTAGATTTGACACTGAAAACACGTCCACTTTCCTTTTTAACTTCCCGATCGGTGATTATCTCGATGTGTGCTTTTACCTCCGGCCCTTCCAGACGCGGGACATGTCCACCTGCTCTCTGCGGAAGACGTCAAACTCGTCACCATCAAACACGTTGGATCTGTTGTTCAGAACAGCCGGAAGCTCCTCCTTCACTGGCCTAAAAGAGCCACGACAAACATGACAGCATAAAACTCTACAGTGATCTAAAACTGATCAGCACAACCCAGACCGTGTGTACTTTTCTACTCTAAACTATAAGATCACTAAACACCACCCAGAGAACCGAGACTGAGGCACACGAGCCCCAAACGTCAAAACTGCAGACTCAACAAAAACATGAAAAGAAAAATGTGTGCAAAACATTTGTTGTCCTGCTGCCCTTGGAGGTTTTTCTCTGCATCAGATGTTTATTAAAGTTGCTATAAATATCTTCTGTAGGCACACCGTGCACATTTTTATTCCAGAACAATGACTCTTTGTTTTCATCTGCAGCTGTGTTCAGATGTGGCCTCCCTGAAACATCTGTCTGCACCTGAAACATTCAGGATTCATTCTGCCACATCCCATTCTACTTCCTTTAGATGTGAAGGCTGGAAAGGTCAAATTAACTCACAAACTCAAAGCAGTTTGACATAACTTTTGCTTTGTGGTGTGCAGGTAATGGAAAACTGTGGCTATTAAGGTTGGGAAGTATAATTTGCAGCATTAAAAACACGAATGAAGATAATAAAACATTTGTTTCTGCACTATTCCACCAGCAGCAGTCTGGACTGTTGGCACAAGCCAGGCTGGCTCAGATGTACCGACCCTGTGGTCTCAGCAGAAATGGAGCAGCCTGTTAGCCCACTGCAGCCTCTCAGTGACAGATTTCATATGATCCCATATTATTATGGATTATGCCATAAGTAACGTACATAATCAAATTATCTAGATAAAGAAATGTTATGTTAGACACTGCTATAAATGTCAGATCACAGAGCAGATGATAAATGTCAGCATTATGTATAAATCTCTTGGTGTGTTACCGTGGCATGGCTCGGTCCAGTTTGGCCAGATTGGGAGCTAACCGGTCCTCCAGGATGTTATTGATGACCAGCTCGGAGTTGTAGTTGTATTCCTTCAGGCATTCCAGCAGGAAACCTTCACCCAAGTCAGGAAGTAGGTCCCTGATACACGACAGCAGAGACTCCAGCTCCGCCCCGATCACTGGACACACGGCGCCCTGAAACCGCGTCAAAGGCGGGCTGTTTTTAGACTCCATCGCAGTAGCTTTGCTGACCTAATTATTTAAAACTTTGGCCATTTTAACAGGATATATAGGACAGAAAATAAGGAAAATCTCTGGGCTGCTATAATCGTGCATTGAGCGGTAACAATCAGAGCTCACATTGTTTCCTCTTTGGGGGACATCCAGCATGGCCTCTGCTCCCCTCGTACTCTCTCCTTCTGCTGGCTCTCTGACCTCCTGAGGTTTAGAGCCAGCCAAAGAGGAAGCAGCAGCACCAGCTGCTGGTTCCCGATTGGCCGATAGCGATGCAGAAGCTTGAGCCTGACTAGTCCGAGTCTGGCTTTGTGGTTTCCGTCGCCCCACGCTGTCCCAGGCACTTTCAACTCCCTGGAGCAAGTAGGACGTCCTGGTCTCATCACTGAGGCAAAAGGTGGTTAAGGAAGGTACCGAGGAAAACAGTCACTTTCTCATCCAACACTAAGACCCAAGTCTGGCTTTGAGATTTAAGATCCATCCCATCATCCATCAGAGCAACAGTCTGAACCCTAAGAAGCTTAAATATTACAATGGAAGGCAATAAGGGATGAAACAAATTCTCATGTTTTTTAATTACTTAATTAAAAAACATCACATAGTGCAATAATGCCACTGTTGAATATATAAACTGTATTATCCCCAGTTAAAGTTAAAAGTCCTTCATGAAATGAAAATGCGTCACCATAAGTGGCCAAATGAGCGCTCCTGGATCTCACTTCAATTACAAACACTGTATTTCTATTCTGAGCTGAGCCCACGCAGCACACACTCGCTCAGCTCAACAGATAAATGCTCCAACATTATCATAAATCTGCTGATAAACTACCATCTAATGTTCCTGCTGTTACCAGAACACGTAAAACAGCCCGGAAATATAATAAAGGAGGAAATCCGATCACTTTATCACTAATTAATAATAGTAGGATAAATTGCACATCCCTTTATGTAAACGTAGTAATCAGTGATTTGGTATTTTTGACTTTTCTCTTTACGGTGGACGTGAGAAATGAACTTCCTCTCTGCCTCTTTATCTCTCACCCACAAATATGCACATATTCTGATTGTGCCGCACGCTTTATTTTACAGCAATCGGATGGTGCAACACAACCCACACAATGCAACCGAGTGTGGTTTATTTCTGGAAGTTGGTGTTTTCTAGTGACTGCCTGGAGTGTGGTCCACTGGAATACCAGTCCTTCCATAACTGCACATATGAATGCAGATATAAACTTAATGCAAACCACAGTGGTGGTCTCTTTACATTTTGTTAATGGCATTAGTGAACTTTGAAACAGGGTCAACTATTTTAACTTAAAATGAGTACGTCTAAAACCAACATAGCTCACAGGGAAAGCTAACAGTGAAGGCTCAGCAGTTTTCTGAGGCTTTCAATGCTTGCTGTAGCAACAGCTTTCTTTGTACGTTTGAAAATCGTAGCCATGTGTTGTTGAACTGCTTGCGTGAGTGCTTTCAGGCTACTGTTAGTCATAACAGCCTTTAGAAATGTCCTGCTGTGAAGCGCCTGAGGATACATGACAGGGACGGCCTGCTGCAGGAGGCTGATGTCGTCTGCAACAGGGAACTGCTCATCGTAGTCCGTCAAGAATCTGGAAGGAACAAGAAACAGATGCTAAATTTCAGTTTTGATGACATATTTCTCATTATAGCAGCACTCAGAGAGTTCAAGCAAAAACCAGAATAACCCGTATACTGAACGGCAAAACACTGAAAAGGTTTCAAACTTTCCAAAAACAATCAGCTCACACAATAAGTCAGTGTGAATAACTGATGAAATTCAGTTTCTCTGTTAATTTTAATGTTTCATTATTTACTTGCAAAGTTGTTTGAACTTTTTTCTTTGTTATTTGAAAACGTGCTTATTATAATATTGGCTTATAGTCTGAGATTAATTATTAATCGTCCATCTCACCTTTTCTCAGGTAAAAATGATGTGAAATATTGCAGCAGTTCCTCTGCAAATGTTTGCATGTTTTCTCTCCTGCGAGGAAACCAGTAGAAGTTTTAATGGGTGTGTCTGTTTAAACATGTAATGCTAATCCTGCTAATCTCCATGCAAAAACTCTGGGCGTCTCACCCCTCCAGGATTGGTTGTAGGCAGGTGTGGTGCAGCAGCAGGTGCACCGTCTCCACCATCTTACGACAGGAGTGAGACAGCCTCTTCCACAGGTCCTCCTGAAGACTATAAGAAAGTTTGTCATCGCTCAGGTGGTAAACGTTTCCCCTCGCACTTACATTCCTGTTTGGTTTTGTCTTTAC